AAGTCTTAAATCTAATTATGTAAACATTAAATATAGTTTCTTGTACTACTGAGATAGTGGATAGAAGGGGAAGACGTTCCATTTACATTGATAGATCCCCATTAAGAAAGAGCAAATGGAACATGATAAAAAGGAGGTGACCCACTGAGACCCACTCCTCATCATATAAATGCCAGACATAAAGACAGAGGGTAGAAAGGCAGGATGAATTACCAGTGACCAAGGTTAACATAGAAGGGATAGAGTGAGAGGAAGAGGCAAGAGAGAGGCAGTTTGGAGCTGAAATAGACGAGGAAACCATGGTTGTGTCGGCCAGTAAGGAGCAATAAGAAGGACCTGACACGGAGTGGCATGGATGATTGAAATCACCTTGGGAAGAAGTCAGATGAGAGAATAAACATAAAGTTGCCATTTGGTCCAATCCTGGCTGAGCGCATCAACAGGTATGGCATGTGGATGAGAAACTGGAGACCAAAAAGTACTTGGAACATGACATGCAAGAAGACATATCCCAAGCATATGGGCCCAAAATAGGAGATTTAAGATTCAACCTCAAAAGGAAAAAGAATGGGTGCCCCTTGGTGATTGGTATAAGCCACAACCATAGAATGTTAGGATACATCACGACAACTTGATTCCTTACATGAGGAAGAAAGTGATCCAAATCACATTGTACTGCCGGAAGCTCCAAGAAATTGAAATGGTAAGACCTCTTGCCTGTAGATCATTGTCTAGAAGCTCCCCGTTGATCAACACATGCCCCACAGCCATTGAGGGAAGCATCTGTAAAAAAATGCAAATCTGGATGAGGTAAGGAAGTGGTACACCCGACGATGTGTGGGTCTTGTTCCACCACCAATGCAGATAGTCGATGAGGGAAGTAGAAAGGGTAATGGGAGAATCCAAGGGGTCCAGAGCAAGATCCCATTATTCATGCATAGTCCACTGAAAAGACCACACATGTGCCTGACCCAAAGGGATAAGTGTTTCCATAGGAGCTCATGTTCATAAATGTGACAGAACCTCATGTGCAAAAAGAGAGGGAGCAGCAAGGCATGAAAAATTGATAGCTCCATTGAATGGAGTTGAAGAGGAAAAGGTTGAGACCCAAGGTAGGTGATGGAAATAAAAAATACCCAAGTGGATAACTCCAACTTTATAATCCAACCTGCATGAGCTGCTTCTACCAGAAGCAGATGAGTGTGTTGTAAGCAAAACACTCTTCAGAATGAATTAAAGAAACCAGTTGTCTATGTGGTGGTGTAAACGCAACCTCTAAGGATGCATAAGTCAGGTAAATGCTTTGACTACCTGACAAAGGACATAAGGGGGCAAAGCAAGCCCAAAGGGCAAGGTGCAAAACTAATACACATCTTCTTGGTGGACAAACTCAAGATAGTGTCTTGACTGATGAGAACTAGGAATATGGAGATAAGCATTCGAGACATCCACCTTGGTCATCCACAGTCCTGGAGATAAAGCCTACCTTTGTGTGAGAAAAGACTCCATGGTAAAATGAGGAAAATCCAAAAATCGATAGAGGTGGGATAAATTGATCACAGGATGCCAGAACCTGGTTTTCATGAGTACCACAAACAGGGAATGATGGCTAACAAGCTAAATAGCCCTCTGTGAGAGAAAAGACTGTACGTGACTGGTAATAGGATCCTGAGGTAACAGAAAAGAAATGGGTACTGGAGACAACTGGAGAGGGGTTTCATCTTTGGTTGCTCATTTGTCTCATTCTGAGCCCTTGCAATCCCCTGTTACTGTTCCCTGTACTGCACCCTCTCATCCTTTACCTGTTTCTACCATTAGGGGTTCCGCCATTCATGGTGTTTTTTGATGTAGGTTTCATTAGCCCAGCAGTACTGGTAACTATCCTGTTGGTTCTAGTCCATTAAGAGCTTATTTAGCTAATTTTGTTACCCTATAATGGGAAATCACTGCAGATCCTTGGGTTATCCAGGTTTTGTCTGATAAACTTTTCATCTAATTCCCTCGGATCGAATGTTGCCTCACAGGTTTCACACGTGATTCAAATTCTCAGACTGATGGAGAAAAGGAGCTATCCACAGGTCTGACAATAATTGAATGATCAATGAACCTGTGACAAGACAGTGTCCCTCCCCAGAAAATCCTAACAGCAAAGAAACCATGTGTGAATGGTGAGAGACAAAGAGGATAATCACATTAAAGTGGAAGCCTGTGAAGGGCGAGGTATGTTAGCACTCACTTACAACTGAGAAACAAAATGCTCAACATGAACCCTGATGTCAGGAGGAGAGAAAACAAAATAATGGGAGGAAAGGGTGTCATATAATAAGGTAGGAATGGGAGTATAAAAAATCGGGGAAATGGATAAAATGGAACACACCCGAGAAATCGTGTCTAAAAAGGCTGAGTTAGGCCTAGCAGATTCTGCAGGAAAGGCTTGGAAAGGCATTGCATAGTCAGGTGGAGGAAAAAGGCTGTCAAAATCACGAACAGGTTCTGCACATTCAGGAGAAATTCAACTCATATAACGATCAATCTCCCAATGAAAGAAAGCTGAAAATTCCTCAGCTGAGTTCCCTCGACTTGAATGAAGCTTATGTAATTGTGATGGAAGTAGGTGGTAAAACCTCAAAGGGGTAACATGAACTTTGGAATTCTTCATGTTATGATGAATAATTGGGAAAGAAAAAAACGAACAACAAAGATAAGTTATCACGTAAAACTACAGAAATAAACTGCAGTAAAAAATATTTCCACTTCATACGAAATACTAAAAGAAAATGCTTGAAGAGAGCACAATTAAAAACAACTGCACTACAGCACTGCCTAATGAGAAGTGACAGTTTGGTAGAATCAAATAGAGGAAGTTACGTGTGTCAGGAGAGTGTGTCGCAATCCTATTGATGGAGGGTTGTCGCACGATTGATATGCAAGATGCAGTTGAACCACAATCATGGGAGTGCAAGACTTGTAGCATGTGAAAAACAATTTTGCATATAGAGAGTAGCATTGAATGAGAATAGCTATATATCTGAGAAGGGGTAATGTACCGTATCAGAAATAAAGAGGTTTCACACGTGAAATGTGATTTCCTGTTTCTTGGTTAATTTGTTTCACCTAAAGTCCAACTGAATGTCAAACAATTTGTAGAATTTTGAATTTTTAGACTTGATATCATGCTGTTCTCAAATACTCTAAACATTTCTGCTGAGGTATCTTGATTATGTCAAAATGGTGGCTTGGCTAATGTACTTTGGGAGAAGACATGTCACATCTAGTTTTAAGATATCTATGTTATTGAGTCAGAGAATATGTTTTAAAGATGTTCAGGAGTTATTAGAACATTCAATTTTTCTAGTAATAACCAATAAGAACAATCAAATTGATATCTGGTTAAATAAATGTTTTATTTTTATCATCAAAAGTTCTATTGTTTATAAAATATTAGCCTCCAGTCAGCAATGTCATTGATGGAAATTCAAATTTCATATTTATAGAAGTCACCAGTCTTTAAGTTCAAGACACCAATATTGATATCAATAAAATGATACAAAACAGTGTGATTGGAAAATATTTTATTTATTTTAACATATAATTGAAAAATTACTAATCTATTCGTTATCATGACTATGATTGCTAACAACAAGGCCACACTTACAACTGAGAAACTAACAAAAGCCATAAATAAAAACAGTTCTAACAAAATAAAATTTTCTTAATGACAGAAAAGTTATAATTTTCCTATATCGAAAATGTATTTCCGATAGGTATTTCCTTCCTCTCACAAGATTAGCTATTCTCGTCCAGTGCTGCCACCTATATGCAAATTTTTTCTTTATGCATGCCACAAGCCTTCTACTCCCCCCTATAGGAATCAAATGATTCCAGCATGTCTCTCACATAAATCATCATGCATCACTTCTTCATCAATAGGAGCATGACATACACATGTGACTACCTCTATACACCTCTACTGAACTATCACTTTGAGGTTTGGAAGAAGACGTAAGCACCACAGAAAAGTAGGGGGAAGGGTGAGAAGTGTGAGAGGTAGAAAGTACTTATCAGAAATACATTTTCAGTATAGGAAAATTATAACTTCTGATACAGTGCTTCCCTCTTCTCACAAGATTAGCTAGAATCCCACATTGATTAGGTGGCGAGATCAGTGCGAAGGAATGATAGAAGTACCCCCTGAAAGTGTCCAAAGAATACCCCTGGAACTGAGAGAGTCAGATCCAAAGATCTGATGAGGGGAACCGCCCCACTTCTGAATCAGGTATACTCTTTGCCCATCCGTGAAACGTGATAAGGGCAGAAGAAGAGAGGAGCACATCCAAGTGGGAGAGAACTGTGGTAGTATAATGATCCTAACCATGTAAATATATATATATATATACGTAAGTCAATCCCACAAAGTATAAAAGTGAGAAGAGGGAAGTAAGGTATTAAAATAATGATAATCTTTATCCATCACAAACAAAATGGGGTGCCTGAATGTAGCTTCACATCATAGCTTTTGAGAACAGAAGAATCATCTTCAGTAGATGTATGAATGAACTATATCTTATTACTGTAAAACCAAAGGACTAATGATCTACAGAGCTTGGTATGTACTTTGTAATGTAAACAGCTGAATTTAGTACACTAAACTGACTTCACTACTTCAAAATATTGCCATAAATAATGTGAATAGATGTTCATTAATAAACTATATGCAAATAAATTTATGACACAATACCCGAAGCATAGAAGGTTCACTTCCAAACCAGAGTGAAGCAGGACCAGATGTAGCTCAGTTTACTGAGGATGACTTTCAATCAGTGGCTGAATGTGAGTATTAAAAATACTAACTTTATACATCAGACTATCAAATTTTGAAAACTAGTCTGATTCCTGTACCTCTGTTGTTGTTTTTTTGTTGTTGTTTCTTGTATCAATGGGAAAAATCAAATTTATACAATGAAGCTCCTTTCATTTAGTTTTTTGGAGTATTGTTGATTTTATATTGTGCTCAGATCAAAAACTTCTTTCATCACAGAATGAAAACTTTCTGTAATTTTCCCTTCTATGTGTACAGGGAGAGCTGTCTTGCTTCCATGTTCATGGAAGGGTCGAAAGACCTGAAAACATGTGAAAAACTGTTAGGAGTAGGTTATCAAATTCTTCACTTTATTTCTAATATTAAATAAAACACAATTCTTAATAAGCTATAATAATCACAATGGGAATAGTTTGGCATTTTTATTGATTTTTTAAAAAAAAAGAAAAACTTCGAGAAGTGAGTTTATACAGAAATGTTAAATAATTCATCCACCTTTAAATTATGGAAATGTCTGTCTTATTACAAAAAGTATAAATATAATACCCATGTAAAGCTCAATTTTTCTTAAGAATTGTATTAATATTATGCATATAGGTTGATCAATCTGACTGACTATGTAACCATCAGGCAACCATGTAAATTAGGTGAACTGCATGATCATATGAAATTTTTATTTAATTTTATCTAACCTAACAAGTTTCTAATTCTTACATTATAGTTAGTTTTGTTTAAAAAATATATAACCATTATTAGAAAATATGCATAAAAAATTAAGACCTATTTTACCTTTAGGCCTATCCACACTCATGAATGTATTTCGATCAAATTACTTTTTTCACACAAAGTTGGTTGTCCATGAAATAATTCATGTTGCTTTCAAATATGCATTTCAGAAGAAACAAAAATATATCAGGCACTAGAACAGAATTTCCCAAAACTGCAATAATTTAACTGACTTTTTAGCAAAAGCTATAGATAGATAAAAAAATTCTGTTAACTGTTCAGAGCTAAATACAACAAAGGTCACAGAAAATGAATCTCATGGAAATTGTCTACTTGGCCTATTGAAAAGTTAATAAAGGTATAATAAATTGTGTAAAAAAATAGATGATCTTTCTATTGGTTATAAATATATCCAATAGTGATGTCAGGAAAAAAACTGATGGACATGTTTTTGAAAGACGGAGAGAAATGATAGGTGTCACACTGGTGTAACAAATACAGTAAGATGTCAGTAAAACTAGACAACTTAACATTTAAAATATATATTATGGCTTGTTAATATCTATAGCACGTGTTTCTACTTAGTTGGATACTCCAAAATACATAAATCTACACAACAGTCTTTTATATCATAACACCTATAAAAAACAACTCTGTGGAGCTTGAAGAAAAATTCAAAAATGTAGATACCGAATAATGCCAAAATAGCTTATTTTGAATTTGGAGTCTGTTTCCCAGTATACCTGTTGTGAATGTAACCAAATTGTTAGTGATTTAATGAACATAGAAAAAATATACTTTGTTCAAACCCTAGAATTAAAAACAATAACAACCACTTGCCTAGATCAGAACTACTTCAAATTTAATAACCAAATAAATAAACAGAACAACAGGTTAGCTATGAGTTACCCACTCTTTCCATTGCTTGGAGAAGTATTCATGGATAATTTAGAGAAGAAATTATTTAGTGATTAAAATAATACAAAACATGTGAAATATTGGTATAATTATGTTGATGATGTAATTTGTTTCTGGACAGGAATCCAAACGTCAATTCAACAATTTTGTAACTTTTCTAAATTCACAAAACAAATATATTAATTTACTATGGAATTCGATGAATATGGAAACATTAATTTTCTTAAGTATTGACATACATAATAGCATACATTCTTTCAATGTAGTTAGGGTAGAGAAAATAACAGATAAACTATAAAGTTTAACTGAAAAAAAAGTTACATATTGATTTAGGAGGTTTTAGAGCCACAGAAATAAAATTTGAAAATTTTCAGTTCAAGAAAGTATTTTTAATCTTAATATGAAAATCACTTTGTAATCTGATGAACCAACACTGACTCCATACTTTCCTGGACAAATCTTTAGTAAAAATACTTAATTTAAAAGTCTGATCTTTTGTATACAGAAGACTTAGCATATTAACCCTGTTACGTCTCTGGTTGTTAGTTAATTTCCCGTATAATTCCTTTCCGATAAAACTTTAGTGACACAAGTCCTTTCTTAAATAAAACTGGTTTATTCGTTCTGAATACAACTTTGCAATACACTTAATTTCCAGTCACGCTATAACAAACGCTATAATTCACAACAAACGACTCACGTGCTCGACTTAATCGTCTGTCTCTCTGTGTATGCAGTTCAATTACATTTCATTGTTGCTGTCACTTTTTGGCGGTCTTATATACAAGAATACCGCATATCTAGTAAACACTCAAGGTTTCACGAAGCTTCGAGAATATGACGTGTTACTAGCGTCACGTGACCTCCACTATCGTAACAACCCTATCACTATGGGGTCAGTGGATTTTACCATTCTAATGACCCCAAAGTAACCATCATAGCTTCCATACTATAACTTTTAAAGAGCTATGTGTATCTTCATAAAATATGGCAAGCTTTCAGTAAACATTACAAGTAAATAATAAATCTAATTATTTAATAATTTTTTGTCCAGGAACTTATGGAGTCAAAGTATTGACTACTCTGGGTGCAAAGTGATTTTAATGTTAATATCAAAAATACTTCTCTTCATATAAAAATTTTCAAATTTATTTATGTAATCTCCCAGATAAATACCAAACATTTTTTTAAAAGTTAAACTTTACAGCTTATCTTTTATTTTCTCTAATCTAACTATATATAGATTTGGTCGTTTTGATCAACTTTGTAACCACCATAAAAAATATGAGATAAACCCAAATTACCTTTTTTTTTCTTTCAGGAATGACTGCAAATTTTAACAGGAAACTACATTTGTTTACCCTAGATAGTTTAAGGCTAATAACAATTTAAATCTTTTTATACTTAATTTGATTGTTTTATTAACATTTGAACTATATGTAACTAATAATCCCACCACACAAGTTGTAAGTCCATTAATGAATGCATAGATCAAGGTACCATATTGAATGACCTACCACATAAGCTGTCTACTAGTATACCTTGTGAAAAATGAATATATATATATATATATATGCGTGTTTTGCATTATTTTACCTTATCTAACTTAATAAGTTTCTAATTTTTACGTTTAAGTCACTTTTACAATAATAAAGAAAGAATATACATGAAAAACAAAAAGTATAGTACTTAAATGTGTTAATGTGCTTTTTCTGCCACCTGTTAATCTAAACAGTGCAAGAGAAACCTTCAATCTTAAAACAAAATATAGACATAAAATAACATATTATGTCATTGATAGATTAAACTGGATTTCTACTGGTTATAAATAATATAGTATTAAAGCTCCTAGAGGACTACTGGAAATTTGTGAAAGAGAGGATATGACAAGTGGGCATGGCAAGTGGGTCTGATTTTCTAGTTTATAACTCTGCACACAAAGAAGATATCATGATGGCTATAAAAATTACTTTGCCTTAGTAATATCTATATTATAATGAGTAATTTAAGTTAAACTACATACTTCCCAGAAGGATGGTAAATAAATTAGTATTATTTATAACCAATAGAAAACCAAGATTTTCATTTATCAAATGATGTATTATATTTCTGTACAAAGAATCATCAATTTCTCTTTCAGTTCAAGCTTCATTCCCATGGGAACATATCAATTAGCTTGGATGAATTTGTAACAGCTCTTGTTGCATAGTTAGAAAGCCAGAAAAATTGTGATAGTTATGGGCCATTATCTGCTTTTTGCATGTTATTATCTTATGTTCTTTGGTGCATTATTTAATTAAATAAACATTTATTTGTTCACTAGTATAAAAAAGTATAGTTAAGTGTCATCAACAGTTTTCAGCAAAAAAGAAGGTATAGATAAGTACTTTATTTCTTATTTTTCATGTGTATTCTTTATTTATTATTATAAAAATAAAAACAGGAAACTTTTTAGGCTAGTTATGGATAGATTAGGTAAAATAAATAATTTTTCATGAGGTACACAAGCGAGAGACTTGGAATAGCTTGTGGATAATGTAATTTGATAGTGTAACACATTCTACATGTTCCTCAAGTGATTTACAAGTAGTTAGACATGATTGCACAGGCAGTAAAACAATAAAATTCTAGTATAAATAAATGTATACTGTTATGAGTTTAAAGCTACTTAGGATAAACAAATGTAATTTAAAGTCACAATCTGAAGTCATTCTAAAAAGAAAAAGGGTAATTTAGATTTATTTCAATTTTTTTTTTGGTTGGTTACAAGGTCGGTCAAATTGACCAACTTTGTATAGAGTTATAGTAGGTAAAATAACAGATAACATATAATATTTTACTGAAAAAATAAAAATGTGTGAGCTATTCATTTAGGAGGTTTTACCAATTACGCAAAGGAAATTTGAGATTTTTGAGATGAAGAAAAGTATTTCTAATCTTAACATGAAAATCACTTTGCACTTGGACTAATCAAGAAAATAAACTTGATATATTTATGGACAAATCTATTTTTAGTTTATTACAAATACTTTGCTAAAAAATCTTTTTCTTTTTTATGTAAAAACTTGTAATGTTTTCTGAAAGTGTGCCAAATGTTGTTAAGATACATTTTCTATATTAAAAGTTGGTAATATCCAAACTATAATGACTTTACATGAGTCAAAGCGGTCATATGAACAGTCAATTCGACTGAGCCTGTGAATTGAGAGTTTCATATTTCCTTTAAAAATTAGAACTTGTATAATATTATGTCTTGATGCTAAGTTTACTTGCATACATTGCTAATAGTAAATGGTCATGATATGTACATTTTAACCTTCCCTTAGCAAGAAGGATAATTAGCAACTGTTATAGGTAATCTGGTTGGACAGAAGGGATAACTACTTGTTTGTTTAATGGGAAAGCGACTAGGACTATCTGTCTCCATCCCAATTTTTGAAATGATGACCACAGAGAAGGCATCAAGCCAGCAGCACCCATTCTTGAGCTACTCTTTAATAATGAATAGTAATACTGACCATTACATTATAATACCCCAACAGCTCAAAAGGTAAGCATATTTAGCACCAGGGTTTGATCCCATGACCCACAGACTGCAGTATAAGTACAGCAACCATCATACCATGCCAAGCTGAAGAGATAAATGAGATTACAGTT